TGGAAATTAAAAGTGAATTAAGTGCAGCACACACATATTAAATTCGATGAAATTCACAACATTTTGCACACACTGTAACATCGGCAAATATCGTCGCATTGAGATCGGGTTTTCGCAGACTGAGAGGGGGAATCTCGCTCTTTTCTTATTGTATGGAATAATTCGTGGTTAGGGTGAGGATACCGCCGATAATTAGTGTCAAAAGTGTCGATTATGCCATGACCTGCCCGCCTGTAGCTGACGCGCAACGGAGCGGCCAGTGACCCCCGCGTACCCGGCACGGAGCTGTTCCGACGGTGATTTAATGACTTCCAGATGTCGCTGGCCTGGGAAACTAAGAGGCACGATTTCGGCCAGTTTTCGGCGCTGTGCTCTCTGGCCTGCAATCAACACACAAGTTTTCTAAGTTATTTACCTCTTTCTTCCGTTTTGCTACCGGTATCTTGAAGGGCATAAGATTTGATAATTTGCGTAATTTGAGGGTTCCAAATGAAGATTTAGATGACATATCTTCAAATTTCTATTGCGGATTACCACTGTTTGAATTTATAACCACATTCGGTTTGAGTTTAAGCAACTCCACTGTGCACGGTACCAATTGTTTTTGCACACACAAAGAAGAGAGAAAAAGGAACAAAAGGTAGAAAAATACTCAAAAACAAGAAATCCAGAGCAATAGTGTTTTCCATACATTTTACTGGGTCTCATTTTTGTGGACAACACTACAGGTGGCCATATGAAATTTCTTAACATTCTCACGTGTGTTGCATTAGATCCAGGAAATCACATTCACACCAACAAGATCAACTTTTTGAACTTGAAAAAAAAAAAAGATATATATAATTAAATCTCAAAATATCACATGACCACATATAAAGGGGAGGAAGGGGAGTGATTGACAGAAGGACCAATATTACATTCACAACTCAAGCATACTCTTTGCATGACAAAAGCGTTGCTTTTTTCTTGCATATCTACATACATATATATGTGTATCATGGTTGCTAGAGTTTGTTATTTGATGGTGCAATGAAACGATAAGAGACTTGCACACAGTCCAGCCATAAACATGCATTAGCATCTGAAGGAAGATTGGGGAAGAAGATACCTGCAGCACTTGACATACTTATCAAGAGGTGAACATTAGTTCGTGACTGTTTTCGTTACTTCACATCTCTTCTCTTCTGTTCTTTGGGCTTTTTTCAACAAACAGACTGGACAAAGAAAATCACAGCTACTAATAACACTGTCTATGTATATACAAATGTGCATGTGCAAAGGTACTTGCGCCTTTGTGAATCTACAAATGTACCGGTATTCAACACACAAAAAAAAATAATCCTCTTTTGCCTTTGCTTTAACAATGTTAACGAAAAAGAAAAAAAATACACGAAACATCTACAGCACTCTTGCTGATGGCTGCTTTCATGAGCTGTGCGCAACATCTAGTCAATGCAATGGCTTGATACTGAGTGGAAAGGAAAGTTTTTCAGAATACACTAATCATCTCAGAGTGGTCCACGCACTTTGAGACATCTATAGAAGGAATTTTAAGCTCATGAAGAAAATGAAACAGCTCTTCTTGCAGCAAAAAACAGCTTCAACAAATATAAGAGAGAACGTGCCATCTGCTTATGACTGTGAAGAAAGATGAGTAAAGTAAGGTTGGTAACAACTGGAAACTCTCAGTGAATTCAGTATGCATGTCAAAAAGAGGCATGGTGAGGAGAAAGGACACCACCTGCAGAACAGGGGGAAAGTCCTGAATACATCAGCACGAGCTTTTTTTCCACTTATATCTCTCCAAGAACTCTTAAGACATAGTAAAACTGCAGTCCTATATTTTAGTAGAGGCCACATCTCAGCAGTAAAAAAAACTCTACCGCAGTCAACCATGTTTCGTTCTCAAATCTTATGCATCTCCTTTTCCTTATAACATGTATCATCTCATGAACATGGTTATCTTAAGGGTAAACCGAAAGAAAAAAATAAATGAGACACTGAAGCTAGTGACATAAAAAGCCAAGAATCAAGGCATAAATAAGTTTCTTTGTAGGCCAAAAAGAGCAATGATTGATCATTTTACAGGAAAAAAAAAATCACCTGGGGGCAACAAAAAGCTACAAGAAAAAAACCCACAACACATTCAGTCAACAAGGTAAGAAACTCATGAATCGTATCAGCTGGCCATAACTTATGTTTTTACAATCGACTCTACATTTCTGATGAGAAAAACATTGGTAAAGAAAAAATAGTCTTCTCTACTTAAAAGGAACGCCGGATTTGTTGGGGGATTTTAATGCCAGGAATCTACTGCCAAGCAATCCCACTATATTAGTAACAATTAACTGTCAAATAAGCATCTGCAGATCTGCCTCAACACCAGTTCTCCCAAATGGCTCTCATAGAAAAGAAAAAGAAAACCAAAACGCCAACAAAATATTCAAGCCTGTTAAGTAGCAGTACTTTTCAATTTCTTGAAACTATATTATATACAACCAACATTGCAAAATCCACCTATGGCATACCATTATTTTCTGTGGAAAGGGGGCAGCAACTTGGTTTTATTTTCGTATTAATACCTGACCCTCATAGTAATTCATCCCCCTAAAAAAAAAAAATCACATAGCTGAGAGTATATACAACAAATTACATGTAAACCTGCGAGAATTAAACAATTAAGACCTCAGATTGCACACATTTTCAAGAACAGATGGGGGATGATGATTGAAAGTCAACTGAAGACTTGAAGAATACAAAACAAAAAGCGATTAACCTGGGTCTTCTGAGAACCCAAAAACCGGATATCTCTGTGATGTATATGAAAGATTAATAACTTTTATATTTCAAACACAAAAAAGCACTTTATAATTCTGAATTCTAGCAACAATGACAGAACATTCAAATCATTCAATACAATCACACAAGCAGACGTACAAATTTATGTACAATTCTTTTTTCACCCATACACAATATGTACAGCCAGGCACCATACACTTTTCATCATAACTTACTACATTGATCCAAGGAACTCCTCAAAAACTATAGATCTATGTAAAGTTTTTAAAAAAAAAAAAAAAACAAAAAAAAAAAGCACCACACCGAAATAAATAAAAGAAAATAAAACAACTGTACACTAAGTCAGTCAAAATAGACAACAACAAAGGCAAAAATAGGGAGAAAGGGGAAAAAGAGATTGGGTCTTGAGAGGGAGAGGGTAAAGGAGGTGGAAACAAAATGTTAAAAACTTTATATGGTGAGCTGCGCTGTGTTCATCTAGTAAACACCATGGGCTGTGGCTCTCACACAACATATAAGAGCAGAAAGATAAATACCAGCCACCTTTCCTTCAAAGACACTCTCAGATAGTGGAATTTCTAATGAAAGAAATCTGGAAAATATTCTGTCATATACTTGGTAAGACAAGTATTTCTCAGACTGGAACATTTTTTCTACCCACTTTCATTATTTTAATATAAATTGTTCCTAAATCAAATCCGACACTATAGGCTCACCTCCTTTTCATTTTTAAACATCTTAATTTTCGCCCTTTTTTTCCGTGGATTTAATCTGGTTCTCATTAGCTCAAAAGAATGTTAAGGATACAAATTTGCCCCTTTAAAACAAATTTCAAAGGACAGGTAAAACCTACCAAGCAAACTGTTTGGACACGGTATTATTAAATATTAAATGATCAGACCATGACACCATAAATAGTAGGCTGGAATGTGGAGAAATCACCCCACAAAAGGAAGATTTTCACACCACTCCACTCCACTGATACCACAAGGGTCATCATCACGCTCATCTAACAATAACATTACTCTCATCAATCATCTTTTCTTTCCCATCTGGTTCCAAAAATCAAAAGGAGTCAATGTAGAACAGGGATGGGGTGGGGGAATTTTGTATGCAGGAGCTAAGAAAAATACCTTATTTCAATTCATCCTTTCTAACATCCCATCATGTGAATTTGGTGTTAAGGAAGTATAGAATTTCACTTTTGTTGTTGTTGTTGTTGTTGTTGTTGTATATCTCCTCCACTTCTACTGCTACAAAGTACACAAAATTCCCACTCTTTGTTTAAAAAAAAAAAAAAAAAAAAAAGAATGCAGGTAAGGGCTGCGAATTCTATTTACACAGTAAAACTTATACACTGTTACCCATCAAGCTGCAGCATTCAATATATTCATATACGTTCCAGTGCAAAATTAATGTCCAAGCCAGATAAAAAGGTAGATGTATTTATTTGACTGTAGAAAAACCACTGCGTTTAAACAAAGTGAAATCATAAATTACGAATAAAGATGTGCAAATGAAATATGTTCACTAGAACTATACAACTGGCTATGACTTTATTACAAATAATAACACAGGCATACAACTAATAAAAAAAAAAAAATAATAAAAAACCCTTCACTGCCTCCTACAAAATGGAAAGAGAAGCAGCAGAGTGAACAGTATTCAGCACTTCCAAACCATCCTTCAGTCTCTTCATCTAAAAAAAAAAAAAAAAGTAAAAGCCCACACCATTCTCTAGAGATGCATTCTGAACCATTATCTACAATATGCTCAATTCCCATCACTGATGTACAAAGAACTTTTCATTGAAACTGATCATCGTGACCATAGAAGGTAAACCAAGACATCCATCAACTATAATTTTTTTCATCATGCCACTGACCATTCAAAACAAACAGTCGTGCACAAAAAAGTATAACTTTCAAGAGGAATGTGTTCAAAATTATTCCCACTACACTACTACAGAACGGTAACTACTTCCAGCTCCTTCTTTTATCTTTACTATCGGTAAATAGACTATCAGTGCCCTAACCAAATCAAACATAACCCCTTTTATCATGAACAGTCAAATCACTATATTACCATCATTACGGGGGGGGGGGGGGGGACCACCCTTCATCTATCTTCCTTAGTGCACCCTGCCTGACATGTCAGTAGGGCACACTGTGAGCTTACCTTTTTAATGTAGTACAAGTAAACTGGGTGCAAAAGCTTTAATACAGGATACTCAGGATGCTAGGTTTCAGGATTTCTGAGTCATTATAAAGCTCTCTACACTTTAAAATACAGAGAAAAGCAGTTAAAATAAACAATGTTCTCATTCAAAGATTTTGGAGGACTTGGTTGACAAAATATGTTAATAGAGTTATGTCATCAGATTAAGGCTGATATACATATGCATCAAATTCATTTAGGTCCATCTTAACCTTCATCGCAACATCAGTCCTTGCATACCACACTTATTTACAAATGTTTAAAACAAGATTTCCCTGTACAAATTTACACATTCGCATCCAGCCTTACCTAATTCATTTTTTTTATTTTAATTCCTACAATTGTGGGCAAGTAGAAATCAGAAAATTAGCTCAAAGCAGAGGTGGTTTTCAACATCATTCTACTACTTTGCCAACAACTCCAATCAAATCTTTCACATGAAGTAACTGATGCATGGTGAGTGCACTTGTGTGAGTGTGATTAATGTTAATCACAAGCATCAACATTGGGGCCGTCCATTCTTAAAAGTATAAATTAGCTGTAACTATCTGCAACTACATTTCAAATTACATTTTCTTCTTCACTCTATTTCACAACATTTTAACTCAAATCCTGCACTAATCAGAGGAAAACAAAAGCCATGGGCACAACATACATCAATAGCAAAAGATGCATACCGCCAGGGTCTGATGATAAATGAACAGGTCCTCTTGAGGATACATAAATACCGTCTACTGTCAGCAAAGAATATTTTGCACTTGAAAAAGTTTTATTTTAAGCAACTGCTGACAAACCCTTTCTACGATTCTATACATGAAAAGAAAAAGTACCGGTAGTAGAAAGAAGCAAGAAATGACCACTCATTTTCTAATACTTTTTCATAAAAATCAAACTTTAAAAAAAAACTTTTCTAAAAATAGACTTGTCCCAGAGCACAAGTAATTGCGAGTCTCTTTTTTGTTGTTGTGGTCAATGGTCACTCAACTTCCTGTCTGTTTACTCACATTAATCCCTTTCCCTCAACTTGCAATACTTCTTTCCCATTCCAGAAATTTGCTATCAAAGCCGAAGTACTACACTCCATTTCACAACTGTATGTAAAAAAAATAACAAAGGATATTTTAAAAAAGTATATACACTGCGCATGGCTTAATCAAGGCAAATTGAATTTGAATTTTTTCCAAACTTTACTACTAATAATTCAATAACAGCCTAGAAAATTTACATCTTAACAGCTATAGATAATACACATATATATGAAGCTGTTCATTTAAAAATCTTGACTGAAGAAGTCTTAGTGGTAGGCTCCCCCAGCCATTGGAGTCGGCGTGAAGCTGCTTAAATTGTGTAGATTAACTGGGAAACCTGTCGTGCTATTCCCAGAAACAACTTCAGGGGAAAAGGCATACGAACTTACAAACAGACATCTTGGCAGTACTGTGCAGAAAACAGAAACAATAAAATGCAACAGCTTTTTCAAAGCACAAAAGGTTGAAAAAGTATACTTCCAGAACTACTCAAAAGAGTTTCATTATGTGAGTAGTCCTTCTGAGATAACAACAGGCATAGTGACTTTCCAAAGTTAGACAAGAAGTATACACTGTTCAAAGGTTAAGTGGTGGGTCATCTTATTGGTGCAGAGTGAAAAGATGCATTATCTAAAACACAAAAAAATGACATAAACATAAAAAAGTGTCTTATTCATTTTTTAATACTATTATTGTTTCTTCATGCTATGCTGAGAGCATGTTGTAGGAAATTTACAAGATTTTTTGTTTCAGAAATGCTCTATTCTATTGCCTTTACTAGAGAAAACAAAAAAGGAACAAAGGAACAACATGCCAGTCATATACCTCATCTCTTCACAATTCAGGACTTCTCTCGTATCAACTAAAGCAGCTGTAAAATTAGTCTTAATCACCATGTAACACAGTAACGTAACTCATACATCACCTACAGTTCCTTTGAAAAATAAACACACATGTTCATGCAGATCAGGACACAAGTACTGGGGTGTGCACAATGTACATTGCAACCCAGACTTCTTCCATCCATTTTCTCCCCATTATTATTATCAACAACAAGCAAGCTTCCATCTCATAAGGTGACGGTGTGTCCCTCCATAAAAAGGCAAGATACAAAAATAACTGGAGGAAAAAAATGGCTTCTCATGAGTGCCTTGATCAGCACGGATCATAACTTTTTTAAAACAAAGTTCATTCACAGCCTTCAGGGGTCTCCTCGCCCCCACATCAGGTCTTCACTGGTTCAGTGGCACCGTCAAGGTTCAGTGTTATGTTCACAAGAAAAGCTGCTCATTCCAACTCCTCACAGAGGCAGAGTGGGGAAGTACGATAGAAACACTTATCATCATGCAAGAGAGCACACTGACAGAACCGAGTTCTTCTCAGGAGATGACATGTCATAGTTATTTTCAAAACTAAGTTGAGAAAAAGCTGTAGTCCAGGCCAAGAGATAAGGGCCACTCCTGAGTTTGCTTCAAGACTAATGAAAACTGGCAGTATAATTCATGAAAACACAGCGCACTTCACCGTGCATGAGCTTCCGCATTGGAAGGGCTGGGGTAGGATGGGGATGTGTCTGTTAAATTGTGATATATATATATACTATGACAGAAATGTCTACAGCAAGTATGCTAGAGTTTGAGCTCATTAGCAATTTTTGATGCAATGTTCTTGAATCCTATGGAGGTTCCAGAAATGCGTTTGAAACGTACGCCATTCAGGGACAAACGAGGCAGCTTGCAGACTTCCATCTCCCACTGCACTAGACTGTCTGTATTGGGATCTCCATGAACACACAGTAAAAGAAAACGCTCTCTCTGCTCATAGTCACAGTTGTTGGCCTCGAGCACCTGAAACCAAAAGAATAAGAAAGGTTAAAAAAAATACTTTGCTTACATGAACTTGATACCCGATACCCTCGGGGTCTCTAGATGCACCTGTAGCTATATGCGACAGAGGTTGGCTCAACTTTCATTATTTATTATATCAATTACAGATGGAATGCTGCAAAGACCATAATTATTAATGATACCAATTACAGATGGAATGTTGCAAGGCTTTGAATTGTCCAGGAACACAAAACTCCAAACCTCTTATCCATCCTTCATATTTGATTTAACCACATTCTATTTGGACATAAACTATTTTTCTGTTTTTAGAAAGCAAGTTATACTCAGCCCTAGAAAAAAAGAAGATGAAAAAAAAGAAGAAGAGGAAATGTGAAAAGCAGACCAAACATCTCAAATTCATCACACAAAGTGCTCTTCTGTACCTTTGATATACACTTCCTCATTACGATCTGAATAACATTTTGATGAGCCTGATTCACTACTTCCAGACCAGACAATTTCCACTCCCTAATGAACAATTCCTACGACTGGAGGCACAACAAGACATATTTAGATACAAAATTCAAACCTTTCGGATCTCCTTCATCATATCATTGGGATCCATGGCGCTCGTGGTTTTCATGCTCCATGTAAAACGAAGTGACCTGGGTTTGATACCCTCGGGGTCTCTAGTCTCACCCGACATCGACCTGCGGAAAACGTGGCTGCAAATTAGAAACAAAAACGGCTATTGGCAGTGACACCCTGACCAAGCGTGAAGCCGAAGCAGTGTGGGGACTGGGATGGAGGACAAAGGTGAACAAAATAAGAGTGGGGAGAGAACAAAACGAAGCAAAATTCATACAGAAAGAAATGGGGGGGGGGGGGGGGGGGACAACTAGTTTAAAAAAAGGAAAGTGGGTGGGTGGAACCAAAAAAAAAAAAAAAAAGAAAAGAAAGTTTCTAAAAGGAGCAATATGTCGTCTGACGACAAAACTACGAAGTACACAAAAAAAAAAAAATGTAAAAAGATACAGTTTATGAACAGGAACACAGACTAGAAACTAATCATAAAAAAAAGAAGAGCAAATCTAAGAATCAAAGCTACACTCAAACACAGAACGACAAAATAATAACTGGCATTCCCAAACGATACTTCAATGACTGGAAATTATTACTGTTATCATTTAACTGGGGGTTGTTGTTTTTTTTTACAGCATGCCTCTGATAGCCCAGTACCAATGCTGCTGAAGAATACAGCACAAGATAAGCTTGAGGCAGTCTGACAACATCTCGTTCCACCAAAATGAGGAAGTCTGGCATTTTGGTATTTCAAAAGAAAAAAAAAGGTTCTCCCCATCTTGTACACATACGAATGGTTTTGCAATAGACCCACAATCCATTTAATCACTATGTTTTGAAAGTGCTATTCTTAGGTTCTTTTTCTTACAAGGTTTCTTCTCTTTTTAACGAAGGAGAGGAAAATAATCACACAATCAAAATTGAAAGAAATTTAGAACAAGAGAATTAGAGTAGAAAAACAATGAGTGCAATAAAATCTGGCATTGCATTCAAAATGACGTTGGTGGGTGGGGATGGGGATGGGGGTGGGGAAGGTGCTGGACGGAGGGACTTCAATAACAGTAACTAACCAACAATAATGAGCAGTGAGGTTTCAGTTGGGTAAGTACACTAATAAGAGTTAGGATGACACACAGCCACACCTGCAATTCTTCTTCACAAAGATTAAACACAGTTTAGAAACAAATCGACTGCTTAGAGTAAGACTCCGCCACATGCCATTTTGAAAGGCAACATGTGATAGTCTTACCCTGAGCAGTTGAAATATAAACACCTTACACAGAAATTTACTCATGGCTGAGAGCCCCACTCTCACAACATTTCTCTCAGGCACTCTTTCTCCAAGTTTATGATGTTATACACAAATATATAGAACATTCACACTGCCCATTCAAATTCAGGCAACTGTTCAAAGAGCAATTTCAAGGTATCACAATCACCAGCACGAATTTGTCAAAGCATTATCCAGCCCTCAGAATTAGTGCGCCCTTTATCAATTATTGTCAGTAAGCAAGGAGTTATGGATTTGATTACACATGGGTTAGATAGAAAAAATTACAACAGAAATATCCGTGGAATATACACCCAACCAGACCTAATTAATTTCTACAACTCTATATTACCACTACTCCATTCGATACATTCACAGCCATTGAAAACGCAAAAGCAAAGGAGCAGATGTCACAGCAAGAGATCTATGCACATGAGCAACTGAATTAATAAAGCACCTTTAGCAAGCAAACAGGGTGACAACATCCAGCAATTGTTGAAAAGGCATGCGCGGAAAAGTCACTGCCATGGGGAAATAGGTGTCACTGCACAATTCTTCTTTTTTTTTCTTGGTAAGCTATCACATGAAGATGGCTTTACTTCTTGTAAAGCAACAATGGAAATGCTAAACAGTGATGACACCTACTGATTACTCTTGGAAAATATTTCTTTATTTTTTTAAAAAATATCATAACGAACTACCAAAACACGAAATAACAAAATTAACATTCTGATTTGTAGTCTTTTGAACTCAAGTACATTCAAAGTCAAAGAGAAGACTTGCGTTTTAATGGAATTTTTTTTTTAAAGTCTGGATTCAGGGGAAATTGGAAGAATGAACATGACATCTTAGAAAACGAATTGCATAATGTTTACTAAGGGATTTTTTTTCTAGTTCAGGCAAGTTGGATCTTCAAAATGTATTGTTAAAAATGGGTTGCAGGGTGTTAGCAAAAATTCCATCAAGCTGATGATAGACACTCATTGTTCATGATCATATTATTAAAATAAAAAAATAAAAACAACAGGAAAGCATTCTGTATGCACTTTTGAACTAAAGAGCACAAATTTAATTAAATAACCAAAGTTCCACCAAAAAAAAAAAAATCCAAACAGCCTTTGAAGCTATACTCCATTATAAGCCACACAAAAAGTATTGAGGAAAAAAAAAAGCTGACTCCTTTCCTCGCTTTGTCCATAAACTGTGTATACCAGTGAGACGAGTAAGGGGGATTAGAAACTGAGTGAAGTCAGAAAACAGCACTAGCCCAAAGGTTTCAGTGTTAAAGACTCAAGGAGGTTGAGTCCAGCATGAAAAAGTTCAAGATATCTTATAGCTGGCTTGGCTTCCTTTTTTTTCCCTTCTCAAAGCTCTGATTTGATTTGCGCTTTCTCTGTCAAGTACTCACGGTGACAGGGCGGGAGCCCTCCCGCTGGCATATGCATAAGGAGAGGAGCTCTGCAATCCACCATCAGGTCTGAAATTTAGTGGTTGGCAGTGGGGGGAGAAGAGAGACATCAATTGAGTGGAGGTAGTGATGCAACACTGACACACTTTTAGGAGTATCTCTTCTCTACTAGCATCTTATTTGGTATCTTCTTTGGATAGTTTTAAACACTTCTCTTCAATCCCTTTACAAACAAAAGGAAGGGGGAATCCATGCCAAAGAAGACAACTCATTGCCAGGTTTTCAACTCTTGCTCATGGACGAGCATTTCACACATTCCAGAATTTAATAACTTAGAACATGCAAAAACATGGATGGCCCTTTAGTAATTTGTCATTTATCTCAGTGATAACATACAGCATACAAGCAAGTTGCATATATTACGACAGAATGCAAGGAAGAAGACAGTGAAAGTACGGCATCAGTGTTGCAAGAATTTCCAATTAAAATAAACATGTAAAATAAATAAAATAAGTAAATAAATAAATAAAAAGAAAATATATAGTCATATGTAGGCATAAATACACTGTTTCCCTACAAAAAAGGCAGACACTTTGAGGGTGGATAAAGCTTTCTTTTGCACCCCTTTCAACTGTTCACTCAGACCAAGACAATTGCGATAACATTTTAGGTATTCACCATCCATGCATAGGGTAAAGAGTAAACTTTGTGAGGGCAGGTTACAGAGTGGAAGCTCTATTTTTACTAGCAGCAAAAACCCTCTAAGTTCTAGCATGATGCAACAACATAATGCAGATGGGGAAAAACATATCACACATCGGGCTCCTTTTTATACACACAGTTTAAAACCCTAAAGGAGATTTATCTCTCTGAAGGGGAACAAATTCAGGAAATAGCTGAAATTTCAAATTATATTTCAAGCCCTGTCCAAAAGAAATTTGTCCAACAAATTCAAAATTAGGAAAACCAGTGAATTTGTTCTTGAACATTATGCTCAGGAATACTGAAATGCACTGAAAATCAAACTTGTAATAGGTACATATTGCCAACGCAATAGGTACATATTGCCAACATATTAACCGAGTAAGGTATTCCAAAAACAGGAGGGAAACGAGAGTACTAAATTGAGTTTGTAAGGAAGTGTCTTTACAAACATTCCCCCCCCCCCCCACCCCTCAAAAACCTTCCCCACACGAGCTGAAAATAATTGTAAATAATTCCATCCTTGACATTAAGAAACAAAGAAATCTCTTCCATTTCTAGAGACTACACAGAAAAGGTACTATCCTGTTAGGTTTGACGAAACATGATATACTGCAGTTTTCGCCGCCCCCATCTGCCTCATTCATAAGACATTTAAACCTAACCTAAGTCTGAAGTCTGGTACAAAAACACACATCACTCCAGATCCACACACCTTTCAATCCCCACAAACTTACAGCTTTCCCTCTCTCATCACTTTTCAAAATTCCCCTGCTTGGTAATTTTTCAACCCTATGTGCAAACAAATTTTACCCACAGGCTTATTTTTTCTACTTCCCACCTCTTACATGTAGTTTTGATCTCTTATCCTTCTAAAAATATATTCAAAGTTAAGACCTCAAAAATAAAAACCTGTTGCCCACATTCCAACACCCTTAATAATATCTAAATATTTTTTTCAACATAAATTTGAACAAAACCAAAAATAACACAAATCTGCCCTGAGGAGAAACACAGTAAAACCTATGTCAGCTGCACTGTACTGGTCTGTCCGACTAACTGAGACAGAACCACAATAAATCTCTACAAATTAAGAATCAGTGTTTGGGCCACTGTCTAGCAACACTATATATATTTGTTGGATGATGTGCAACACACTCTTTGGTGCTTTTGAAAAACACACAGCACCATATAGTCAACAGTACAATGGTCATACCAAAAACTAGGAAGGGAAGATGCGGCGTAGAGGCCACTAAGCGTCTAAGGGATGGGCTGTTGGCTGAATTCGTCTGTGCGTTAAACATGCTCAGGCTTGTGCTAAGCTGTGCCAAAAACTGCTGTGCTGTGTTACACAGATATTGTCAAGTGACTGTTGTGTGGAAATATTACATTTTGTTTCAATTTTTAATAATCTTGTTGATGTATTTAACTCTTGTGGTGCCAACTCTAAATACACGGCCATATTCAGACATGCCGTCTCCCCAACATCTTCACATATCAAATTCCTAAATGACACCTTAGTGTAGTTGAAAACACTACAGTATGGAACCTCAAAAGGTTGGCACATGTTCATCTTCCTTGCATCAGAGGTTGGATATGCAATATTAATGCTCTCCTGGCATTAGCAAATGATTTGACAAACAGTTGTCAGTGTCATATATATCTTGACCAGTGGCCTCAATCAAGATTGCGTAGAAAACCTGTTTTCCCGTTATCTGAGGGAAATATGGCCAAAAATCAAATCCTGATCCTCAACAATTCAGATTTACTTTAAGGCAGGTCATGGTTGACAAACTTCTACAGACAAGTGAAGGCAGCAATTGTTCTGATGACCTAGACAGTTTCTTCATCAACCTCTCGATAACGAACAGTACCAGCCAATCCTTGACCCTTCCAGACTCTATACCATTGCCAAATGAAATGAAGCAAGCAGACATCATTTTAAGATCATGCCAAAGGGACCATGTGATACAATTAGAAAATATTGTATCTTACATAAGTGGGTTCATTGTCCGAAGACTTGAGAAATTTTTGTGCTATGCTTTTTTGGATTTAGTTCAAGACCAGACATCATCAGCTCAAAGACACCACCAGCTGATTAAACAAAAACAGTTCAGTAATTGTTCAAATGGTGGTTTGAAAAAACCTAGTCAAAATTTAATTGCTTTAGTGGGAACATTTGAGATGATTTTCCAAACGTGGTCTTGGAATGTTGTTGGGAGCCGACAAATACAGGAATTTAGTTATAAATAATAGTGTTCCTAATCTCGTAATACTTGCATTTTAGGGGGACAGACCTTAGAGATATAGAGATAATACCTAGAATCTAGATCTACCTCGTTCCTCAAAGTGCTTATTTATTCATTAATCTATATTATATGTTTATCTTTGTTTTAATGAGCATGCTCTAGGTGTAGATTCTAGATATCTATTAACAAATACGGTATTTGTTTATTAAGGAACGGGAAAAAGCACGTTTATAAGCTGATCGTGGATGCATAATTATAATAGGCGAATACTGGGTTTGCTGACTAGCGTGCCGTAATGCACAGACGACTTCGCAAACTGACTCGGCCCGCGGACAAGGGAATAGAGAGGCTACGCTTCGTCTTATCTTCCTAGTTTTTGGTCATACTGCACTTATGAAGAATGCAGAACCAGTAAGAAAAGAGAGCCTACTCACAAAATACAATATGATCTGTTTTCACATTATCTGTACTCCATACTCAAGTGACCCTTGTAAATAACTCTGTCCTTGACTCAAAATCTATTTTCAATACCACAACCAACCCCAAAATCTGCACAGACCACACTTAACCAGAGTTGTCTCAAAAAGGCGTGATATTCCTGTGTAATGGCTCCAACCAGCTCACAGACAGAAGTGTAGACAAATTAGGGAAATTTTTCTCGTAATGAAATGGAAAGTCATCATTGCCTTGCAAAAAGATTTTGCTATTAAATATGAATTTCTCAAACATTAACTCTCCTGAAGACAACCCATATTTTCCCCCATAGCTTTGATAAATAAGTTCATGTTCAAACAATTAAACATTCAACAAGAGTTAGCACACATACAGGAAGTGTATGTGCATGCAGCACAGTAGGTTTGCAGGTGGGGGATGGGGAGGAGGGGAGGAAAAAAAAAAAGTTTCAAAGCATGTGGATAACAAGACTCCGACTGCACTGGACAAATCAAACAGCAAGGAACTTTTCAAAAAAATTTTACTTGCAAGAATCCAAATGTAAGTTTTCAGTCTCATTCAGAGGTTTTAAATCAAAAGAAAATCGTACAAGTTTGTCCTAAACAACATCAGAAACTCTTGTATCAGCAATACCAGAAATCACAGCACAGAAGTTTCTTACTGGGTAAAAGTCTCTTTAGGCTAGAAATTAAAAATGAGGGCTGCAACTTTAACGGAAAGTTTTTGCTCAACTCACTCAAAACAACCCCGTTTTTTAAATGAAACCCACAAAAAAAAACATATCGACCAGGCTTTGAGGAGCCAATACTGTTCTACTTTTCTCTCTTTTTAATTGAACTTTGCAATACAAGTGAATAATTGTGTTTGAGTAAAACCTCTATTTTTTTAATTGATTAAAACACAGCCAATTTGTATGTCTTAGAAAATATATTGATGCACTTTCATTCAGGATTGTGCACCTTTTTAACTATTAAATAAAGTCTTCGTTTACTCTAGACCAGACTTAACATTTAGGTTCCTGTGTCTATAGTAATTCAACTAGGTTCATCCACACCTAGAAAATGGATCTAGATATTATTAAATACATCTGATCTCGAAACTATCTATTCTATAGTATTCTAAGCTAGAGTGTAAATCTAGAAAACTAAAATCTTGTTTTCTGTAATAATGAAATGTGATATTCTTTGCCAATTGTATCTAAAAACAGGGTTTGGTTGTAAGGAGACAAAGGATAAAAGTTAGACTGAGATATATCGGTTTTGGTTCCATGTGCTGGAAAGGGCTAACCGAGATACCTCAGTTTTGGTCTTGAGTTATAAAGAGGGCACCAGAAAATGTCATTTTCTGAAACTTCATTTAAACTCAATACAAAGATGGTTACAGTACAAGAGGACTTCCCCACTGCTGATAAACAAGCAGAGACATAGCCAATTCAATATGAAATTAATAAATATGTGAAACGGCCATGGCGGGTCTTGAGATAAGCAGCAAAAATCACTTGAGGAGGGGGGGGGGGGGGAGGGGGGGGGGTAGAATTAAATGCAAAACTAAAATAACAAGAGTAATAATGAAGGTGATGGTGGTGATAAAAACATATTTTTATAACTATAATAAAAAACAAAACAAAATGATAATAACAAATAGCCATGCACTGATATCAACTAAGGCTGGGTTTTCTTCCTTCGTTTCCTATCTCTATGGAATCAGTCTCTCACTTCATGATCCCACTATTCCAAACAGATTTTATTCACCTCCTCAGTTTTCTAGGAGATTATAGGAGTCCATTGTATTCACTCCTTTAAAGCTAAAACAACATCAAATGTTACAGTTTTTCACAAAAATGTCATAATATGTGTTTTAAAGTATAGTGTGTACATAAAGTTGTCACTTCAAAGGGGCAATGTGTGTAAATGGGAACTTCAGCACGAACATATAGTAAGGGACAAGGAGTAACAATACAAATATTACTACAGAGCAAGCCTTGAATGACTTTCTCTAGTGTCGTAAAAATTACAAGCCACACATCTATATTTATAAGAAAAATAATACAATAGTGTCCAGCACAGTAAGTTGGTAAATCAAGAAAAGTTTAGTAAAACACGCCTTTTAAAGTCTGATTTTGTAACTTTACTTCCATACTTAGCTAACGTACATCAAAAAGTCCTGAACACTTAACAAAATCTTATTCAATACCTTTAAAAAGTTTAAGAACCACTTAAGCATATTTCTTTGGTTTAATGGGTAAACAAACTCTTACATATGACACAGATATTCTTCGAGTCCTACGATTTCAATCTTGGAACATTAAAATGGGCAAGAACAATACCACTGATTACCTAAGAATTTTTTTTTAAAAGAAAGAAAAAAAATTCATTGGAACTACAAAACAAAAAAAGTTGAAGTACTTGGGCATCAGCTCCCAATACCTTGAGCTTAATTATGGCTATCAGTGACAGAGAAGAAGAACCCACTGACTGAAATATCGCTGCTGTTGCATGAAAAAGAAGTTAAAGTAACTCCTATCACTTATCTATACCAAATCAATCTGTTTGGTCAATGAGACACTTCAAACACTGGAAAATGAAGGAGAATAGGAAGAAGGGGGAAAACACCCACAAAAACAAAACAGGATAATTTGATAAGCATATAAAAAGATGATAATTTCCTAGGAAATTAAGATTTGGAGCGCCAAATATTATCATGAAGAATTATTTTAATTGAAAAGACCAAAACCTGATATGATATTTTCATTTAGCCTTATTGACATTGTTACATTAAGCCAGAAGTTTTATATGAAAGATGCTGACTGTATCGATTCCTATATTTGCAAAAGCAACAGTTGACTGATGACATTACCACAAAAGTGGGGTGTACAGGGATTTGTTTCACAACAGTGCAAGGAAAGGGAGCCCACACATCTGAAGTTAGCAGTAGGAGAAAACAATTTCACTTTTGACTCTTTAATAAATATTTTAAAAAATAAATTTAAAAACAATGCCTCCCCACCCCCCCACCCCCTTCCAAAAAACAAAAAAAACCCGCATCCCCATCACTTCCTAATCTAAAGTCTACTGTTACTTCAATACTGCCACAGTTCATAAAGTACAACACGCCATGAAACTAAAAAAAAAAACATTGCCCAACTGAAATATCTTCACTTCATAAATGTACAACATTCTTTTGGGGAAAAAACAGAAATCATATATATGAGGTGCCTTCAAAGTTTCCCAGATACTCTTCTCATACAAAAACCAAAAGCTCACATAGCATGAGCTCCTGTTTTATATTTTCCATAGCAGTTCCATGCTCATTAAAATTTTACAAGTCTCAGTGATACTGTTTAGAAACGGCACAGTATTTTTCATTCTCCCCCTCTGTGTTTGAAATTTTTAATACAATATCGGGCGTTTCAGCATTTCTTTTGATTTTTTAAAATTACAGGTTCTTTAATAAAGTATAGAAATTAGTTTCTTTGAATCAATGTAATTGTGTTGGGGGGGGGGGGGGGTTTAAATCAAGGAAGTTTAAATTTTTTTTCGATAAAACAAGCTCCATCTTGGGTTTGACATTGTTGAAAATGAAAAAATACTACCGAGGACAGTATGAAGACACCACTACTATCTCGGGAGTCTTGAATTCAAAAGAAGATGTATGATGAAAAGTTGAGTATTGGGCACCAAGAGAAAGGTTTACTGAATGGCCACAAGGCATTAATGCATGGAAACTTATGTTTTAAGCAATATCTTGATTCCAAAAATGCATCCGTCTTCCCTCAACCTCTCTATATAATATTCTCTTGACCTGTGCCCTGCAACTTTTTCATTTAAAAATATTAAAATGGTATCAAAAAGAGCAAGTTGAAGAGATTCAGTTTATGCTCCATGAAACAACACCATCATTAAATAAAAGCCTAAGAACTTAGGTTTACAAAATATTTTGAATCTGTGTACAGCTGCAAGACTGGATCTGAGTTAAGGTATCAATACAGAGTGGCTGGCCAGTCTAGAAAATTTTTGTCAGCACCTCGTATATTGAGCATAACTAAAGGCAGAGTCACAACATACATTTTTATCTTATCTACATAAAAAAACTGGACACTTATTTGTTACGTAACTACTGAACCTGTTGGTAATTATGATTCATCATGATAAATCTATTAACTGATTGCCAAAAGCAACACGCACACACACACATCAAGCTAACTTGTTCTTTTTTAAGAAATCAAATAAAACAAAAGAAAGAAAGGGGAAAAAAAACGCAGGGTGATTTTTGAAGACTGAACAGTTCACTCTCAAAGCAAAGAGCAACTGCATAAAGAAAGAAAAACGAAGACGAATCATCAAATACCTCATTCCAGGACTGAATGCAAGAAGAAGTAACAGAAAATTCATTTATTTTATACACAAAATGCATAACATGTAAACAAGCATACAAAGGGTTAATATCAACCACCAGGTCATTCAGAGCCTGGTCAATTCCAAGAACAAAAAACAAGACTAAAAAGAATATTAATACCCTTGAAATAGTTTACCTTTATGAATCATTCAAGAACAAAAACGTCAATTCTGAACGTTAAACCAAATCAAACCTCAACCAAAGGAACTTAATCTTTTTTATTATTTCTTTTCAAAGGGGGCAATAAAACAAGGGAATATCAAGGGAAGAAAGGTAAGAAGTACTCTCTATTTTGTCACTTTGTTGAAACTTAACAATATTGTAGCCGGGGACAGACAAAAACAAGAGTGGGTAATCTCATACTTCATATCTTGAACAACAACAATCAATTAAGGCTCATACTCATTCACCTTATCACAGGAAACGTACAATAATACTTGAAAAAGTGTAGTAATAACTGTTACTTAATTCAAACAGGGCTTGAGAAAAACCCTCCAAGTCTTTTTATTTAAAAAAACAGAAGAAAATTCTTTTATTAACTTTTTTAATAGTTTAAAAAAAACTTTCAAAATCAGTAAAATAAGCCCTTTCAGTAACACCAAAAGCAATCCCCAAAGCTACTAGCATACTTGTGAAGAATTTAGTATGAACAGAAGGAAAGAAGGGTGGGTGGTTGGAGGGGGGGGGGAGAAAGGCAGCATAAGACACAGTGACTCACCTTCGGCTGAACTTTGAAGTTATTCTGTTGAAAAAAGAAGGACGCTGTCCTGCCATGGTAGAGGTGTCTGCTGGATGCTGTGAAACTCCTCCTGGGCCGTTGTATGTCGTTCCCACCATCTGTTTGCGTGCATCACGCCCGTGGAATGTGTTTCTTGCCTGCGTCCCGCGTGTCAGGTTGGGTTTCGTGCCAGGAGAAATGGCTGGACCCTTGCCAGGTGCAGTTCTGAAGTAGATTGCACCCAAGTCAGTTAAGCACAAACATTATTCTCAATCTGATCATACTAGAAAAACCTTTTCTTCCTCAAGACGACTGATGATGCAGTAGAAAAAAAATGTCGCCACTAACCTACACTGATTGAAATAATGAAAAATATTAACCTTTACATAATACCTCCCCCCCCCCTCCCATAAAGCCTAATCACCTCCAAGGAAAAAAATAGTTACAATTGAAAACCTATGTAGTTGTAAGACAGCCAAACTCCTCATCCAGACCTATGAAGGGGGAAAAAATCAGAGGGCTCTAAATCAGAGTACTTGGCAGGTATTAATCATCCTTTCCCATCAAATACCTTAGGAGCCCTCCCCTAGACTTTTTGTAACCATTACTTTCTTGTCTTTGGTGCTACTGTGTGCACTCTTAAACTGATGGCCTATATCCTGGACAAAAATGTACATTGCGCAAAATTCCATTTTAGCATTTTTTTTAAACTCAGAACCAAAAAGTTCAAAAGGAATGCATCACCTTCCTTTTGTGGTTGTCCCCAACTACAGCTTACAACTAGAGTGCAAAAGAATTTACCTTGGAACTTTTGATTTCCTACAAGATATTGTACTTACTAGAACAGAAGCAAAAGCAAGTTACACAAACTGTTCCACACTGCTCACCTACATACAAGGACTGAACAAGCCAGGAGAAAAATCAACCAACCTCCACGACTAAGACAACAATACCAGGATAAAAAAAGAGACAGACTGCCTGATAAAAATTAATAGGTAAACTACATATTCATATCAAAACAGAATTTTACTCTTAAGTCACAGGTTAGTTTTAGTTTTAATATAGGTTTTAGGGCGCTCGCAACTGCATACGGTCATATGAGTGCCAGAAGATTAGAGGTGTTACAACAGAGTAACAAACATTTTTAAAAAGAAAGGGAGATAAGGACGATAGATGTTCGATAGGAAAACAGAAGCAAACCACACCAGAGCACCCGCCAACCACCCAATAAGTGTCACAAGTTACAGGTAACAGCAACTGGACACGACAACAGCCATTTTAATTGAGAAACGAGACAAGCAACGACAAAAAAATCACAACAAACAAGAAACAGTAACCTTCAGTAGGTTAAGAAACTACAGGTCTTTCAACTTACGTAGGCCGATGGTCTGGCTCCGAGGCTGGCAGGTCACTGCCTCTGGCTGACTGGGATATGCTGGCTGACTTAGCATGTCCATGTCCTTTTGGGCGAGTGGATGAAGGGGTGGAGGTTGAACTTGTGCTGCTGGGGGCGTCAGTTGGGTTTGAACTAGAATTGCTAGTATGGCTGGAGGGGGGGATAAAAATTCATACTTCATCACGGAATACAAAAATAAAAGACTGCAAAATTCTTTCCCTAACCTTCCCCTTCCTTGGTCGTGAAATGGAAAAATGGACATATTGATCATTTCAAGATTTTGTAGAAAGATGCAACTATTTAACAACAAATAATTAGATACAAACACAATTTTCCTGGACACCATTTACATACTTTGTTCTAAGAATATATTACTAGATGCATCAGTCACAGGTACAACAAAGCTAAAACAAAAATTACCTACCTGCGTATATCTTGACCATTTGTCGTTCGAGGCTTTTCAGCTGGGCCTTGAGCCCTATTGTCTCCAGGGCTGAATGTACTTCTTCGAGGAATGCCAGTGCTGTGGCCATGGCTCATGGTACTGTTTTTGGGCGTCGATGAGGAGGCTGAACCTGAGTGAGGGCTTTTTCGAGTAGGCATTGTAGCCCTTGCTTGAGAACTAGAGATCTGGAAGATTCAAAGACTCCGAATGAAATTTCGACAAGCCTACGAAATGACAAGAGTGACTATCAGAGTTTCACACTGCACGGCAGCAGCAAATTCTCTAACAGCTCCATAATTTTCCTTCAAATATCAAAATGTTTGAACTGCTGCAGAATAAAACTGATGAAAACATGATTCAGGACAATTTTTATATATTTTTAACCAGATACAAAAGTCACAGTTGCCTCTTCTGTTTGTAAAACATATACCAATCTCATTGTTTTCAAGAACTATAGGAGTACACTTGCCCCTCCCTGAATTAGACAAAGGGACCTTGCGAAAATGATGTCTTCTTAGCTGTCGCAAATGTCCAGACAAAGATAATCATTTCCCACACTCAAGACTGCAATTGTGAACCATCTTTTACACATTAATCAAACTTGTATTGTGAACCAACTTTTACGGATAGATCAAACTTGTGGTGTGAACCTAACTGGTTTCTGTGAACAAGACATAAAAAATCTATACAAACAAATGTACTAAAACAATCATTGTGCAACAATTGTGCTTTGCACTTTGCTATACACTTTTCCCCTCTCACAAATACTGTGTAAACGAAAAACAATATGAACAGCAGATAATCTCTTTTTCCCCCATGACCTAACGGCAATGTCCTGGAAACTAAAATATGTCTATTTTATTGTCACCACTGAGTCTTTACTAGTGTTCACATTCTGTTGCTGTAACATAAAGTTAAAACAACTCTTATAACCAAACCTACAGCTTAAACAATTTTTAAAAAATCACTGCCTCTAAAAGAAACTCCTGAATAAATGCAGCTGAATAATATCTCCAGAAACTTCTGTCCATCTGTTCAGATTAATAGCATTATTGTAGGTTGTGCCGAATATATCATCAAAATCTAAAATCACTATTAGGATGTCTTGCTTAGGATTTTTACAAAAAGAATACAAAAACTGACAATTGTGACATGTTCTGCTGCAAATCCTTCCCATCCTAATCCCAGTACTTAGCGCTATCAATGAATCACCTACCGATGTCGAAGTCTTTGGCCACCACATGAAAAATAACTACAGTTCACATTTTATACAAATCAGAGTATTACTCAGTTTTATTCTGCAGAAGAGACAACAGACCTCATGACCACACCCAAAACGTACATGAAGCAACCAAAGTAAACCCAACACCAGAAAAAGGATCTATATGTTGAGCATGAACAGAGCTAATAGATATCTAACTGCAAAAACTATGCAATCGTCTAGCTCTAAGGCTTTCCAAAGTTACTGCTAAATTGGTACTAGTCACATTTTCTCCAAACTAAAACATCATTCCACATTCCAAAACCCATGTGAGTGCAAACGGTGGTCAATAGAACAACATATTAAGAGGCATCAATGTGATCACAAACATCTTTACAAAACCAAATCAGAAGGAAGGATGAGAACTAACCAAATCCATGCCAAAAATGCTAAAGGTGACAAGCCAGAGATTATGAAAAAAGCATTCATTCATGTCTTCAGTGTACCCTATACCAAAGCTGTGTCTACATGTACAGTAACACCAGTTTGTATTCATCCAGAAGCAGCATATACTTGAGGGAGAACAATTAGGCATACCATTACAAGGCATCAGGCTTTGTGCTTCATTTCTTCGTGAAATAAAAAATGAATATCCCTTTGTTGTATGTATCAAATGAGTAGAGGTTATTTTAGGACTAACCTAGAGATTAGAGAATTCATAATCCTTTAAACTTTTAAAGAGAGAGACAAGAGAAAAATAAAAAAATAAAAATAATAATAATGAACTTTATGAACAGAGATGTAGTTTAATGGGATTGTTTTTCTTCTGTTACCTTCATGCCCTCTGCTGAGCCCCTTGGTGTCTTTGGGCGTGAAGAAGGGGCAGCATTCTCTTTTGATGATGATGAAGTGGAATGATTAGAACTCTTTCTCGCATGCATCTAATGGGAAAATATTATACAAAAAGATTCCTTTGGGGAGTGCTGCCAATGAAATCTATTTGCAGCAAAAAAAATAGTATGAAATGCGTAACAATCTTCATTAGGGACAAAAACAATAAAACTTCAAGTTAGGGTTTTTAAAAAAACTCCAAATAACAAAACACTGTTTCAAAATCTAAAACAGCTGTTTCAAAATGACCCAATACCAAGTGCATGTTCCATATTCCTTTGCAATTTTTTGCTGACAAGAAAATCGACAGTGCAGAAAAAGGAAATGCATTGTGCACCATCCATTCAAGAACCATTCCCACAAGCTAGCAACTACATTTAAAAAAATATAACACCACAAGTATAATGTCCTCGTAGGAGCATTCCCAGTCAGGGAAAGACAGGCTTGCTGCACATCATAGCCAAGTATGTTGTGTGTACGAGTACGTGTGGAAGTGTGTATATAAGTAAGTGTCAACTGATAAATCAGATCTTCAACCAAAAACAAACCAAAAAAAACCAAGATAGGGGTTGAACATATTTATGAGAAATTAATCAGGACATAAACCTTTGCGTTGCAATGAGAACTATTTCCAAATAAAAGAAAATATTACAAGTGCTTCCATGCACCTGAAGCCATGTCCAATCAGGTGAAGCCTTCAGCTATTTGCTTTGTCTCCCTGTACAATAAGCTAAGCCTTGCAAATGAAAAATGTTCACTGCATAAGTACATGAGTTATGCTCAAAGCAAACTGAACAGACAATAAAACCATAGTAGATAATCAGAGTTTGAAATTTTTTTTCCTTGCATTGTTTTTCATAAAAATTAATTAAAAGTTTTCAAGCCGATTTGATTTCAAAACATGAAATTGAACACTTTGCCTTATATATCTTAGAAAAATCAACCAGTTTCTCATAATTTATAAATTGATTATGTGAAAAACAAAACCAAGTACATCATGGTATTCCTGCCCAACTATACAATACATTCAACATACGGTGTGTGTGTGTGTGTGTACGCATGTGTGCCTGAGCATGTGTGTGTATGTGCACGCGCGCACTACCTGTGTGTGAGAGAGACAGAGAATGGACAAAGAGTTTCAAAGTATCCGAAAAGGCAAACTGGTTGTATGGGAACTTAGACACATGTAGATTAGAATATAAATGGTAATTATTTGCACACAGAGGCTTTAAGACATTGTTTTTAATTTGGAAAGTTTGGACCAAAATATTGACTAGAAACCATCTTTTGAGAATTAAAACTGCTTTTAGCTTACCTAAAGTTGCACACACATACTTTGATTTTTCAAGGTAACCCCCC